AAAGGAAAAAAAAAAAAAAAAAGAGTTACGTGTACAAAAAAGGCCTCGGATTCTAGTGACCCTCTACAGAGCCGATGTTACATCATGTTATTGACCAAAAGTCGGATAGCGCATAACATATATATGTGTGATACACGTTGAATGACTCGGGTAAAGAAACATGTCAATTATTAACTGTAATTTTTCACCAATCATCATCAACCTTGATTAACATGCGAGTTATGTACCGCGATAGATTATTATGTAAATATAGGTGAAAACATTACAAGGTGTACAATGGCGAGTATTATACATCGGTGTAGCTTCACCCTCTTGCCGTCGCGATTCGTACATAGCGCGGGTACATTTACATCACAACCCCTCCCTCCCCCTGTGACACATTATCGTTCCGTCTAGTCACAGTAAAGGGAAAGAGGTCAGGTGTATTTACTTACATTCCTATTATACGTTGCGGCCCGATAGGAGCGATCTATACAGAGTTTGCAGCTCCGAGTTCCTGGAATAAGGAGATAAACTGCATTGTGATGTGTACGGAGCGGAAGTGCCGACGATGTTCTCGCACTGCGGGTTTTTTTTCCCCAGAGCCCCCCCCCCCCGGACCGGATGTTACTTGCCCTCGACTATTGGACTTTGCTCAGCCGTTTCCAGCATAAGACGCATACCTACCATGTATCAATTGTTGACCTGATTTTCAATTTTTCGACAACGCTACTCGGCACGCTAACCTTTTCACGCGTTTGAATATTCATCGCCCCCCCCCCTTCCCTCTAGTATTGGTACAAAATGGAGCTAAAATTACATGACCCAAGGAGCGTCTTTATATCCTATGTATATATATACTATCGGATTCTCTTAGGCGTGCAGCAAAAAAAAGCTACCGGTCACAACCTGGTCCTGAAATTAAAATTCCGCGTCGTAAACCGACGACCCGCCCGACGAAATCGCGAAATTCCTCCCGGAAATGCCCGCAGTACACCCCTCGCCCGTACCTATACGTACACACACATATATGTATACAATCATCATCATCCCTCTCTCCGTATACGCTTGTTCCCTGCGCCCGTCTCTCCTCCGGAGGAGAGCAAGTCGCGCGCCTCATGCAGATCAATAAAAGCCGAGCGCTACGTGATACCTATACCCTCCGCTTCTTCGCCTCCTCCTCCACCTGCATCTATATATTGTATGTGTATTATATTGTATACGGTACGTTGCAGAGCAGATACGGAAATCGGAGCAAAACTTTGTGTATACATGCATACATGTGTACCTAGGCTGGCTAGCATAGATGTGGAGATTGATGCAGGTGAACAACGAGCAGCAGAGAGGGGATGATGATAACCTGCTCCCGCTGACCTGCAGCACTGCCTCTAATATATTATATTCGCGCGACAGAGGCCGGGGGAGAAACGTGATTCTCTCTCTCTCTTGACATACACGTTCGTTGCGATGTATATATACCTGCACCTGCACCACACACAACCCCGTGAGCACCAGCGGAGGGTTGTATAATATATATATATATATTCGTGGCGCGGAATCCCCCACCCCCTTTTATATACGCGTAGGTATATACATGGATATACTTTATATGTGTCTTGCCACCGCCACTCCGCAGGCGCGTGTGCATATAGGTATAATGTGTATACCTATATGGAAGTAGAGAGTGTAGCAGAAAAGCCAGCGAAACGTGCAGTGTGACACCTTACCTGCTGCAGTACAACGGGGGTCGTCGTCGTGTACACCTTGTCGTTCGAGGCAAACGGATCGCTCCTTCTCAATTTTTTTTTTTTTTTTCTTTTCTTTTTTCAACTCGCGGACACAGGGAGATCGTTTTTCTCGTTTTACAAAGGGATGAGGAAATAGTGAAAAAAAAAAAAAAGAAAAAAGAGAAATAAAGCGAGAGAAGAGGAGAGTCGTGCACTAGTTGACCGAGTAGTTGATAGTACATTCGGTGCTGCGGGCGGTGTATATACATATACATACATAGTAACGTAGGCGCGAGTAGTCGCAGTGGCGGTAGGCAAGACGGGCGAGCCAGGAAGAGGAAGAAGACGAGGAGGAACAGTTAAGGCCGCCGCCGGGAGTCGACGCCTCCGGAAATCACGACTTATGCGTCTACGCCGAGCAGGTACTTTATTAACAACGTCATCTGGTACACTTTTTTTTACGCATCGTTGGTGCATGTGCCTATACCTGTCATTATCCCGAGACGCGGTGCACATCGCCTCAGCCAGTCTAGCTCTATTCTGTACCTCAGGTTGGGCTTATGCTGATGGTCGGTTTTCCTAAGCTTTCAGGGGGTTGGAGTGTACCGGGGTTCATGCAACTGAATACAAGAATCAGTGTCTGCGAGGTATATTTATACAATCGAAGGGATGTGGGACTATCGCGGGACTAGAACATATTGCTTATTGTACGAATTAATGCATTACCTACATACTCAAGAGTAGAAAAGTTCATCGGACTCTCAGTTCGATATCCGCACTAGCGATGTACACACTTGACGTAGTGCCGATGGAATTTCAAGCTTTTGTTTCCTTTCTTCGTCGAAGGTGGAATGACCACTGATGTTCAACCTGTATAGAATCGCGTTTGATGAGATATATGCCGGCTCTGAGTTTGGCATGAAATTTTTTACGTTCTCGTTCGCTTTATGTTTTTTGTTATTGACATTTTAACGGGTTTCGGATGTCGCTGAATTCAATTGGCTTCCGTGGTGAGTTCCACTCGTAAATGAGCGCACCTGCTGTCACAATTTTTTTTTTTTTTTTTTCTATTTTTTAGGGCAGTCGGTCAACCTAACAAAGTATAAGTATACATCAGTTTGTGAAATAACCGAAATAAAGAAAAAACATTAGTTGGCTGAAAGTGTAATTTCACATATGTACGCAACTGCACTGAGAATATTAATTTTTGTTACACATTATTTGCCGCAGAGTGTTGGAATTTAATCTAATTTTTTTTTTTTTATTCTTTCCTTTGCGCGCATTGTAACGATTGCGGTTGTACGCATAATGTGTTATAAAGGTAATATACCGCAGTGCTACGTGATCGTATGTATACAGTACTTCCTTCAGCCTGACCATTTACACTAACTGTGCCACGTGCATAAAACTGTTCTTTTACATTTCAACCCAACCGTATAATTATATTATACCAGTACTATGAATTTTATTTTCTTATTTGGTACGATAAATTAACCAAAAACTATTAATCGCGTGTAATTTAGCTATTCCCCCCATTTGCAAATTAAAAAATATCGTATTAATAGTTTCACTCCACAGTTGAAAGTAAATTTGCATCCAGTTCAATTTCTATCGCATGAATTTTCAATGAATACGTATCCCACGTACTCCAAATATTCCGCGCATTTTCATTAAATTAAATGCTAATCGCCACTCTCGCGCGCCTACAAAATTATCCCTCGATCCATTATTCGAGGCCGTCCAATAATATGTACCCACAGGTATACGGGCATCAGCATAGGCGGGCTCATCTCATACTTAACGATCGGTGCGATGATAAATTTCTCCGAAAAACGCATCCATCGAAATCAACAGTGGCACAGATTTACCGCGAAATAATTCTCCCAATCGCCGATTTTTTTAACGAGCGGCGCATTTGTTGCCGCACTTCGTTTTCATCTCGATAGAGATAAATCGCCTGATGAGAAAAAAAATTTACGAGCAATTACAGGTACACGTAATCTCTTTTACGGTGCAATAATCTCTTTNGCAGTCGACGGGTTGTTATCATCGCGCCGTACCATCGCTAGTACCACCACCAGCCCAAGTGACGTTAAGATCACCGGCAAACAGAGAAACAACATCAACGTCCTCTCGAGTGGAAGCAAGGAGGAGTGCGGGCAGTGCCAGTACCGTCGTTGTTCGCCGCTGTTTCTCTCGTCGAAAAAAAAAAGATCTCCACTTTAGTAGACGTTACTACGAAAATGGAGGCGTAAAGAGAAAAATTTCACAAAGCAAGTAGGTCGAAGTATGAAAAATTTAAGAATTCTAAAAATATGTCCTCCGACCGCGGGGGTAACGTAGACAACGATGGAGGCGCTGAATACAAATCTCCGTGTCTACGCTTGGGGGGAAAAAAAAATGTAAACTGTTCTAGCGCGCTTCAACGAGTTTTAATGAAACCGTGGATCATTCGGTTGTTTTGCGAGTAAACGTTCAACAGCGTAAACATACAATTTGCGAAATATGTCGTAATAATTATCCAACTTACAACCACTGGTTTCCGCAATCGTTTAGTCCAACAGCTGTAGGTATATGCATTATCGTCCCGGCGAAAGAGTGTCACCGTAAATTGTGCGTCCCTCCCAACTTTTTTTCTGCTGGAAATTATCAAAAGTTTTTAAAAGCTCGCTGACTTGGTGGGGCTGTCGGGGAAATTTATGCTGTTTTCGCGACTTTCGTCAGAAAGATGGAAAATATGGTGGAGCATAGTTGGATTTAGCCCTTGAGTAGTCGAGCAAAGTTTTCAATTTTCACCCCGAAAATATTCACGGTGGAAAACATGTTTTTTGGTTGTCAGTTTTCCTTTTCGTTAAACAATTCAAGTTTTTTTTTTTTTTTTTTTTTCCTATCAGAATTGAATAAATGGATATTTATTGATATATAGACAACCTGCAGCCACAAAATTACTCGGAGAAAGAAAAAAAGTCATAACACACAGACATTTTTTAAAGCTCTGAACTTATAGTCTCTATACCCTAAAATTCAAGACAACATTGCTCTGTGTCTGTTCTACGAAAATGAATAACATCGAGTGTTTGCACGAATACGTACGTAATAATCGCGTGACCTTACAATTTTCTCTGTTTTCGTATTTCCCTGCGTAATTACAGCATGTGTGTAAACATACCCTTCGGATTTTCAAAGTTTCTGCCTTACTAGCCTATTATAAGTCCCGAAACATTTGTCAAATACTTAACGCGTAAAAACAACATACACTCCGATAGCAGCGTAATCTCGCTCCCTTTTTTTTTTTTTTTTTTTTTTTTTTTTTTTTTTTTTTTTTTTTTTTTTTTTTATTTTTTTATTCAAATTCATCATCCAAAGAAATTACATTTAACCACATTTTTAAATATATATATCATGGATATCAAAGAAAAAAAGGAAAAAAAAAAAAAAAAAGAGTTACGTGTACAAAAAAGGCCTCGGATTCTAGTGACCCTCTACAGAGCCGATGTTACATCATGTTATTGACCAAAAGTCGGATAGCGCATAACATATATATGTGTGATACACGTTGAATGACTCGGGTAAAGAAACATGTCAATTATTAACTGTAATTTTTCACCAATCATCATCAACCTTGATTAACATGCGAGTTATGTACCGCGATAGATTATTATGTAAATATAGGTGAAAACATTACAAGGTGTACAATGGCGAGTATTATACATCGGTGTAGCTTCACCCTCTTGCCGTCGCGATTCGTACATAGCGCGGGTACATTTACATCACAACCCCTCCCTCCCCCTGTGACACATTATCGTTCCGTCTAGTCACAGTAAAGGGAAAGAGGTCAGGTGTATTTACTTACATTCCTATTATACGTTGCGGCCCGATAGGAGCGATCTATACAGAGTTTGCAGCTCCGAGTTCCTGGAATAAGGAGATAAACTGCATTGTGATGTGTACGGAGCGGAAGTGCCGACGATGTTCTCGCACTGCGGGTTTTTTTTCCCCAGAGCCCCCCCCCCCCGGACCGGATGTTACTTGCCCTCGACTATTGGACTTTGCTCAGCCGTTTCCAGCATAAGACGCATACCTACCATGTATCAATTGTTGACCTGATTTTCAATTTTTCGACAACGCTACTCGGCACGCTAACCTTTTCACGCGTTTGAATATTCATCGCCCCCCCCCCTTCCCTCTAGTATTGGTACAAAATGGAGCTAAAATTACATGACCCAAGGAGCGTCTTTATATCCTATGTATATATATACTATCGGATTCTCTTAGGCGTGCAGCAAAAAAAAGCTACCGGTCACAACCTGGTCCTGAAATTAAAATTCCGCGTCGTAAACCGACGACCCGCCCGACGAAATCGCGAAATTCCTCCCGGAAATGCCCGCAGTACACCCCTCGCCCGTACCTATACGTACACACACATATATGTATACAATCATCATCATCCCTCTCTCCGTATACGCTTGTTCCCTGCGCCCGTCTCTCCTCCGGAGGAGAGCAAGTCGCGCGCCTCATGCAGATCAATAAAAGCCGAGCGCTACGTGATACCTATACCCTCCGCTTCTTCGCCTCCTCCTCCACCTGCATCTATATATTGTATGTGTATTATATTGTATACGGTACGTTGCAGAGCAGATACGGAAATCGGAGCAAAACTTTGTGTATACATGCATACATGTGTACCTAGGCTGGCTAGCATAGATGTGGAGATTGATGCAGGTGAACAACGAGCAGCAGAGAGGGGATGATGATAACCTGCTCCCGCTGACCTGCAGCACTGCCTCTAATATATTATATTCGCGCGACAGAGGCCGGGGGAGAAACGTGATTCTCTCTCTCTCTTGACATACACGTTCGTTGCGATGTATATATACCTGCACCTGCACCACACACAACCCCGTGAGCACCAGCGGAGGGTTGTATAATATATATATATATATTCGTGGCGCGGAATCCCCCACCCCCTTTTATATACGCGTAGGTATATACATGGATATACTTTATATGTGTCTTGCCACCGCCACTCCGCAGGCGCGTGTGCATATAGGTATAATGTGTATACCTATATGGAAGTAGAGAGTGTAGCAGAAAAGCCAGCGAAACGTGCAGTGTGACACCTTACCTGCTGCAGTACAACGGGGGTCGTCGTCGTGTACACCTTGTCGTTCGAGGCAAACGGATCGCTCCTTCTCAATTTTTTTTTTTTTTTTTTTTTCTTTTTTCAACTCGCGGACACAGGGAGATCGTTTTTCTCGTTTTACAAAGGGATGAGGAAATAGTGAAAAAAAAAAAAAAGAAAAAAGAGAAATAAAGCGAGAGAAGAGGAGAGTCGTGCACTAGTTGACCGAGTAGTTGATAGTACATTCGGTGCTGCGGGCGGTGTATATACATATACATACATAGTAACGTAGGCGCGAGTAGTCGCAGTGGCGGTAGGCAAGACGGGCGAGCCAGGAAGAGGAAGAAGACGAGGAGGAACAGTTAAGGCCGCCGCCGGGAGTCGACGCCTCCGGAAATCACGACTTATGCGTCTACGCCGAGCAGGTACTTTATTAACAACGTCATCTGGTACACTTTTTTTTACGCATCGTTGGTGCATGTGCCTATACCTGTCATTATCCCGAGACGCGGTGCACATCGCCTCAGCCAGTCTAGCTCTATTCTGTACCTCAGGTTGGGCTTATGCTGATGGTCGGTTTTCCTAAGCTTTCAGGGGGTTGGAGTGTACCGGGGTTCATGCAACTGAATACAAGAATCAGTGTCTGCGAGGTATATTTATACAATCGAAGGGATGTGGGACTATCGCGGGACT